CTTTTCCTTGTAATTTATTTCTAGGAGTAGGATGGAAAATTTATCAACTTCTGTGGTTCCCTTCTCAAGAGGATAGTTTGGAGAAGTAGAGAATTAGCACTTGCAGTTTGAGCTTCTGTTGCATCAGGAATTAAATGATTAACTTCATACCTCTATCTAATTAGCGTTGCAACACCCAGTGGTGCTAACAAGGTCTACGAGCTGCAAAGCGGCTGTAACCCTGTTATGTTTTCATGGGTTTTTGCCTCTAGGAGAGCACCATTGTAAAAGCTCAGGCAATGTGGCATGGGATGTGGTGTGATGCAACCAATATGGTGGTTTGAAGTTAGCAAGTGACTACAGGGCATCATGATATCATAGTCATTGGATGATAGGAAATTGTTCTAAAGTCTGAAGTGAACTTAGGAAACTGCATCCTGGGTCAGTGAACTTGATAGACTTCTGAGCTTTTGCTTAAATGCAGTTCCATCCAGTAAGATTGTGTGCTGACTGCTGAATTTCTTACGGGTCTTTGTATAAACAGTGTCTTGGAATGAAGTTTTGGCTCCTGCCAGTGGCTGATTTAGATACAAGTTCTAGAATATCCTAATGCCTTGACTATTGTGTGAAGTTTCGCCTCGATACATTTTAGTTATTCACACAAGGGTCTGGATCTTGAAGTTTTCTAGTTTCCATGTATTTTATTTTGTTTGTTATCATGATATATCCCTATGAGTGAAAAGTAAAATAGCACTTGTGTGCCCCAAACTTTTCTTATGGTTTTGCATTGCTCTTCAAACGCACCGTCGTGTACCCACTATGCTCTCCTTGTAGAGATGTCTAACTGGTGTAATGTGATCTTCTATATACTTCTGTAGTGCTTGTTCGGCGAATGGAGAGGCATCTTTGGATGGACTTTTGACCTACATGCTCTCTTTTTTAAATCATTGAAAGAGCAAATTATAACATCATCTCGATGGGTATGCTATCTACACTTGATAGTTGATACACTTGCTGTTTCCGTAATCATTTTTACCTCTAATTTTACTGTATGTTTCCTTTTGAAAGGTTCCGTTTGGTCTTGTGGATCCTGCTTCCGAGAAATCAGGGGAAATGGTACATGTGAAGTTTGATGGGGCTGTTCATCAGTCATTACCTCTTACAACTGTGTATCACAAGCTTATCCCAGTTGAGCAAAATTCTTACACATTGTTTCAGACTATTGTTGGCAATGGCTATCCGGTAAGCTATTGTGCTTGTGTGCTGAAACAGATATTTTCCTAGGCAGTAATCACCTTGTGGATTTCTTTTTATAGCTATTTGCTTATTTATATGACAGATTGCGTTATTGGATGAGGAAAAGATTCTTCCTATCGGAAAGGAGATTACAGCAATAGGCTTATGTCGATTAAAGAATCGAAGTGTTGAGATCAGCTTGTGCCCAGAGCTTCCATATTTCTTGTAAGGATGCTATTTAGCCATAGGTTTCATATTCTTATTGGTGCCAGCCATCATAATTCTAGAACATCCGCAGTTTATTATGCATGCTAAGGTCTTATTTTGTTCCGTGGCTTTCTGTAACACTTTGCCTTGATTCAGGTCTGACCTGACCAAGGGTGAGATGGAAGCCGAGATGTCCTCACGTGCTAGATTCTTCTTCTGGGTTACTGTTGCTCTTGGAACCGTGTCAGTTGGCTTACTAGGCCATGCCATTTACAGGTACCATTTGTAACTTATGGAACAGGGTGGTGAACAAAATATTTGGGTGAATATTTCTTACTGTGAACTATCAAATGTGGCGTTTTCACCATTGCTAAAGGCTTTACTTACTGAAATTTGATTATTATGGGGATAATTACAACTAGATACTTCACATTAGCCTGATATGGTTCTTTTGGAGCTGTTCCATTTTCTTCTTTGTAGTCATGTTCTTGTGGATAATTTGATTTTTGTAATGATGCAGGTTATGGGAGAGAGTTAAACGGCACAGAGAGGCAAGAGAAGCTCAAGAAAGATTTCACGAGGCTGACAATGAAGATGATGCTGGAGAAAATGGTAGCGACGACGAGCCTGGTGAAATGGGAGATGGGCAGCTATGTGTCATATGCTTAAGGAAAAGAAGGCGGGCAGCTTTTGTTCCTTGTGGTCATCTTGTCTGCTGTTGCAACTGCGCGAAAAGGGTGGAACTCATGGATGAACCATTGTGCCCTGTGTGTAGGCAAGACATCCAATACATGCTCAGGGTTTATGACTCTTAAGGTAATTGAATAACTTTATTCTTCTGGAGGGTTGACTCACGAACTCACTGTATTTTTTCTGACCTGCGGCATGTTACTTGGATTATAGCAATTGGAAATCTCTAGCTATGTCTTTTCTGGTTTTCTGTCTGTAAATTTTCTATCAACCCAACAACTGGATTTTGGTCAGACAACTCCTGATTGATCTTTATCTAGATGGTTGGAGAGCCTGTAGACATGTGCTCTTTCTTTGTTTCTGAATTTGATTCCTTTGACATCCATTACATGCTTAGGGTTTATGACTCTTGAGGTAACTGAAAACCTTTATTCTTAGTGCCCACTATACTTTCCTGGTTATAGCTGTGGCGTGTTATTTCAATTATGGCATGACTCAAAATCTTTACTGATGTCGTTTCTGGTTTTCGACATGTAAAGTACTGAATATATGTGATATGACTCCTGATTTGGTCTTTATATAGAATGGGTGGAGAGCCTGTAGACATGTGCTATTTTGTAAAATTGAATTTGTTTGCATTGACTGGCAGAAACTGTTAGCAGATTCGACACCGGAATCGCTAGCGGTGTAGGCACACCATATTCTGCCACTCATTTAAAATGGACCTAACCAATTCAAGCTATCACTGAAGTTCTGGAAAAGAGATTTGACCTTGTTTAATCTTATCGCAGGCTCCTTGCTGATATGGCCCAGGCACCGGCAAAGTGGCGGCTCCAACTGTCCATCCTCCTGTCCTGGGTGCTCTCCGTTTTTCGTTCCTAGTTTAGGTTACTGCTGCCTGGAAAGTATGTGAATATAGGACTGTGCTAACCCTCAGAAACTAGATTACCAGTACTTGCTAGTTTAGTCTGTGAATATGGGATTATGTATCATCTTAGATGACCCCGTGAACTTTGGCCCGGAATTTAAGGATTGCCAAGTTTTTTGTTGGTGTTGCATGGATACGCCTAGGGATGTAAGTGGACGCGTCCGTGAAGTGTACGAACGCCCGCATTCTTGGTTTTTGTATTAGCTCGATTTTTAAAGCGACATCAATTAATTTATTTTCGCCTTCATGGGTACGTAGTTTGAAATGTGACGGACCGGTGGACATGTTTGTGTTTTCCCCTCGGCTGGTTACTTTTCTTTCCATTCAGTCTCCAGACCCAGGTGCTGGTATGCAAAAACATTTCTTCCTGGACTGATGCGAGTATCTTTTGGTGATGTTGCGCAGCAATCATGGCCATGAAAAAATTGCAAGCACCTAAAAAAATCATGTTTTTTTTGTCAAAAAGTTTAGGTTTTTTAATGCCTTTGCTATTTTGGAAATTTAGTGTTTATGTTGCGTAGCAATTATGGCCATGGGCTCCCGCTCCCGCTCCACTCCCGGCGCCAAAAGCCGTTGCTCACTCCGCTCAACGGTCACCTCGCAGCCCCGCGCGCTCCGTATTTAAGCTTCACCCCGACACACGTCTCGCCAAGAACAAAACAAACAAACAACGTTGCAACACCAGCAAGCGCAAGTGCAATGGCGTCGAGCTCCAGCCTGAGGAGCTCCTGCTCCTTCCCCAACCTGCTGCTGTGGCTCCTCAACCTCTCCCTGCTCGCCCTCGCCGCCGCCGCGCTCGCCCCGGCGCTGCTGCTCCGGCCCCGCCCGACGCCCTTCGGCTGGGCGCTCCTCTCCGTGCACGCCGCCACGCTGCTCTCGGCGCTCGCGTCCCTACACGCCCACCTCGCCCACCGCCGCCTCTGCTGCCACGCCCACGCAGCCCTCGCGGTCGCCGCGCTCTGCGGCCACGCGCTCGCCTCCTACGCCCTGCTCCTCCGCCGCGACCGGAGCCTCGCGCTGCTCGCGTCGGCGAGGGACCGGAGGGAGCAGGTCGCGCTGGTGCTCCTGGAGGCGGCGCTGCTGCTGGCCATGTTCCTGGTGCAGGCCGTGGCACTGGCGGCGGCCTGCGCCGTGGACCGGCGGTGGGCGAGGGAACACGAGGCGGCCGAGGCCGAGAAGGCCGCCGCGGCGAGGAAGCGCGAGAGGAAGATGACGCGCGTGCGGGCTGAGGAGGCGCAGGCCGGCGTGGGGGCAGTGGACGAGGAGAAGGCGACGAGCGGCAAGGTGGTGCTCCGGGGAAACGACGAGGAATGATATCCCGTTGTTTAGCGCTCTCGGTTACTTTTGGTTTCAGAAGTAGTAGTAGTAGTAGTACTTGAGCCAATGCATACAGGTTGTCTGAACCAAAGATTACATTGTTGACAAAGTTGGCCCGTCTCCCAAACAGTTTTCGTAGCATACATCCCAGTTCATTTTCGTCAGGTTTATAGAGATTTAAGCCCAGTTCAGATACAGGTTTTGCTTTGGGACGCCAAAGGTGAGGTGACCCGGCTTGAAGCTCAGTTCAGTTTCATCATCATCATCAGGTCTAAAAGACCAAAACAGGCCTGCAGAACAAAATTTAACTCGTTTTGGTTGGGGTGCGCCAGGCCCAGGCAGCAGTGCAACGCCTGGGCGACACGCGAGGACCCCAGCAGCAAGCTACTGTGGTGGGCCCTCCCCCATAAAAAATAAATTTAATATCGTTGTGGGCACATGGCCCACATATCAGATACTAAACTGATAAGAACAGATACTACACTTGATCTTAGCCAAAAGGCCGAGAAAGGTATGCATCTTCCCGTTGCCCTGGGTCTGGTTATATAGCGCGTCTTCGCCTCCCTTCCGCTCTGGCTGCGCGAGGTGGGACTAAACGAAAGCGCTGCACCACTACAGCAGAGGCGCTCTCTGCTCGGTTTTGGTGGGAGGCTCTGGTCGGTTTGCTTGGGCCGTAGTTGAATAAGGCCGAACGTTGATGGGCTGCTGATTTCCGTAACATGGCCGGACAGTGCAACTACTCGTCTCTTGGATTGTCACGCATACATTGTTTTTTCTTCTGAAAAAACGCATTACTTTTTGAGTGAGAGACGTTATTTTTTTTCTTCTTAAATAAAAAGAAAAAGGAAAGGAAAAATCACACATTTTGGTTCCTCGTGGTAGACGAGAAGGTGACGAGGCAATGCATGGACGATGATATTTTGTTACATGTTGCCAAATGCCAACAGTGTTCATATCAGGGATGCAACATCAGTTGCAAGAATCGGCTGGTATGTGTGGGGTCGGTGGTGGAAAACTAGTAGCAGTTCAGTCAGTGGCACCCTCTATGATCCTGTACAAACGTGTCTCACACAAATAATCGTATGTACCCTATAGTATCTGGGACTTTGGTCTAGACTTCAGGTCATCTGGTCCGGGTCTTTCCGCCTTCTGAAACGATCCATGCAGCTGCAGGAGCAAAGAATTGCTGACGACAGAGATGGAGCTCAGGGCCATCGATCCTCCTGTATTAACACGCCGATCACCAGATGTTACATTATAAAAGTTATAAACAAATATGATCGAGGAGACATAAACAACCATGGCAATTGTCTTCACCAGATAAACATTACCTGAAAGAGAGGGTGTCATGGCGAAATCAAACTGAGGCAGTAGCGCTCCAGCCGTGATGGGGATGGCCATTATGTTGTATGCCACCGCCCAGGCCAAGTTCTCGTGAACTTTCGCCATCGTTGCTTAAGGAAAAGAAGGCGGGCAGTTTGTGGTCATCTTGTCTGCCGTTGCAACTACGAAAAGGGTGGAACTCATGGATGAACCATTGTGCCCGGTGTGTAGGCAAGACATCCAATACATGCTTAGGGTTTATGATTCTTAAGGTAATTGAATAACTTTATTCTTCTGGAGGGTTGACTCACGAACTGACTATATTTTTCTGACTTGTGGCATGTTGCTTGAATTATAGCAATTGGAAATCTTTAGCTATATTTTTCTCTCTGTTTGCTATATCAACCCAACAACTGGATTTTGGTCAGACAACTCTGATTGGTCTTTATCTAGATGGTTGGAGAGCATGTAGACATGTGCTCTTTCTTTCTGAATTTGCTTCCTTTGACATCCATTACATGCTTAGGGTTTATGACTCTTGAGGTAATTGAAAACCTTTGTTCATAGTGCCCACTATACTTTCCTGATTATAGCTGTGGCGTGTTATTTCAATTATAACACGGCTAAAAATCTTTACTGATGTCTTTTCTAGTTTTCGACATGTAAAGCTGAATCTTTGTTAGACAATTCCTGATTTGGTCTTTATCTGGAATGGGTGGAGAGCCTGTAGACATGTGCCACTTTTTAAAATTGAATATGTTTCCATTGACTGGCAGAAACTGTTAGCAGGTTTTCGACATCGGAATACCTAGTGGTGTGGGCACAACATATTGTCACTCATTTGAAATGTATACCTAGCTAAATCAAGTTGTCACTGAAGATGGAAAGATATTTGACCTTGTTTAATCTTATCGCAGGCTCCTTGCTGATATGGCCCAAGCACGGGCAAAGTGGCGACTCCAACTACCCATCCTCCTCCTGTCTTGGGGGCTCTCCGTTTTTTGTTGTAGTTTAGGTTACTGCTACGCTGAAAGTATGTGAATATAGGACTGTGCTAACCCTCAGAAACTAGATTGTCGGTACTTGCTAGTTTAGCCTATGAATATGGGATTATGTATGATCTTAGATGACCCCTTAACTTTGGCCCAGAATTTAAGGATTGCCAAGTTTTTGTTGGTGTTGCATGGATACGCCTAGGGATGTAAGTGGACGTGTCCGCGAGTTTAGAACGCCCGCATTCATGGTTTTTGTATTAGCTTGATTTTTAAAGCAACATTGGTCAGTTTATTTTCGCCTCCGTGGGTTGTTTGTATTCACTTTTCTTTCCATTCAGTCTCCAGGCCAGGTTCTGTTAGGCAAAAACATTGGACGCCGATAACGGCCGAACGTTCGGTCCGGGGAGGCACCAGACCGAACGTTCGGTCGGCACGGGAGCAGGGATCGACCGAACCGTTCTGTTCGATACGAACAGCCTCTCAGCATGAACGCCTAACCAGACGGGCCCAATACTAGCTTTCTAGCACAAACAAAAATCCCTTTGCACCAAAAATATAGAGAAAAATGTAAACAGATGTAAAACTAGTAGAGAAAAAACTGTACAATACAGAAAATTCAGAAAATGGTACTGCATTAGGATTTACAATGAGTGATTAATTGCCAACTGAGACACACAAAAAATGGCTACGTTCAGTATGTTACAAGAATAAAACATGCATGATAAAAAAAGAAAATTTAGTAAGAAATTGTGATGATGAATATGAACAAAGGCAAAAATGTTACACATGGCAAATTTTACAAATTTTATTTTTTAATACATGGCGAGTTTTTTTGGGGTGGGGGGGTGTTAATTTTTAAAAAGAAAGTACTTGTAAATTCCCCTGTACATGGCAAAAAATTGCGTATTTAAAAATAAATGAAAAAACCTACGGAATGTTGTCTTATGACAGAAATGCATAGGATATAGTCTCATGGAATGATCCATACACTAAAATGTAGACTACAAAATGCCATGATCCATACAATGAAATTTCCATGATGCATAGACTTAATTTGCCATGGCCCCTTCAAAATAAATTTGCCATGTTGCAAAAAGGAAGAAAGAATGGTCATGGTGCATATAGTTAAATTTGCTATGATCATAACCAAAATTATATTAAAACTTGCATATATTTGACATGGCAAAAAAAAAGTAAAACCAGTTGTGTTAATAAAGGTCAAATAAATAGTAAATCTTGCCATGGCAATAAAAACTAAAAATTGCTATGGGAATTTAGGTAAATTTTCCATGTTAATAAAGGTAAATTAGCCATGGCAAATAAAAAGTAAAACTTGCCATGCCAATAAAAAAAATTGCCACGGGAATTTACGTAAACTTTCCATGGCAAATTCACTAAAAAAATTGCCATGGTAAGAAAAGTTTGACATCGTCTAGAAAAAAGAAAGTTGCCATGGCAAGAAAAGTTTGACATCGACTTGAAAAAAGAAACTTGCCATGGGCATGTTAGTGAATCTGTCGTGGGACATCTAGTGATTTTTGTCATGCAAATTCACTAAAAAAATTGCCATGGTAAGAAAGGTTTGACATCGTCTTGAAAGAAGAAAGTTGTCATGGCAAGAAAAGTTTGACATCAGCTTGAAAAAAGAAACTTGCCATGGGCATGCAAGTGAATTTGTCGTGGGACATCTAGTGATGAAGTTTGAAATCGTTTTGAAAAAAGAAGTTGCCATGGCAAGAAATAGTTTGACATCGGCTTCAAAAGAGAAACTTGCCATGGGCATGTTAGTGAATTTACCGTGGGACATCTAGTGAATTTTGCCAGGGCAAATTCACTAAAAATTGCCATGGTAAGAAAAGTTTGACATCATCTTGAAAAAAATGTTGCCATGGCAAGAAAATTTTGACATCGGCTTGAAAAACAAACTTGTCATGGGCATGTTTGTGAATTTGTCGTGGGAGGTCTAGTGAATTTTCCATGGAAAATTCACTGAAAAAATTGCCATAGTAAGAAAAGTTTGACATTGTCTTGTAAAATTGCCATGATGATCTACTAAAAATTTACCATCGTCTTGGAAATTAAAGTAAATTTGACATGCAAATACTATTGGGGAACACAATAATTTCAAAACAATCCCTACGATCATGCAAGATCTATCTAGGAGATGCATAGCAACAAGAGGGGGAGTGTATCTTCATACCCTTGAAGATCGCAAAGCGGAAGCGTTTATCAACGCGGTTGATGTAGTCGTACACCTTCACAATCCGTCCTGATGAAGTACTGAACGTACCGCACCTCCGCGTTCAGCACACGTTCAGCTTGATGAGTCGTCGCCTTCTTGATCCAGCAAGACGGGCAAAGTAGTAGATGAGTTCCGGCAGCACGACGGCATGGTGACGGTGTTGGTGAAGAACAATCACCGCAGGGCTTCGCCTAAGCACTACGGAAACTAGGATGGAGGATAAACTAGAGGGGACGGGGTTGCCGGCACATGGCTTGGTGTTTCTTGATGTGTCTTGGGTGCTAGACCTGCCCCTCTATTTATATGTTGAGCCTTGGGGTCGAAACTTGGAGTAAAAGCCTCCACAAAGTCGGTTTCACCCGAAAGGCAAGAGTCCTTCTCGGACTCCAAGGCCAGACGCCAGGGAC